CGTGTCCCCGGGCGCCACTCACGCGTGCAGCCGCTGCGGCCGTCGGTGACGATGCCGCGGAAGTTCCAGAAGCCGGGCTCGCAGCGGTCGCAGCGCAGGCCGCCCACGCCGGGCTTGCAGGAGCACTGCCCCGAGCCCGGCTCACACGAGCGCCCGTACGAGCCGTGGGGGTTGCACTGGCACGAGCCTGCGGGGACACCCGTGTCACCCCGGTGCCACCCAGTGCCACCCGCTGCCCCCTCCACCAGCCCCAGGGCTTGCAGGACCCCTGCCCCGAGCCCGTACGAGCCGTGGGGGTTGCACTGGCACGAGCCTGCGGGCAGCCATGGGACACTGGTGGCACTGGGTGGCACCCAGGTGACACCCAGGTGACACCCAGTGCCACCCGCTGCCCCCTCCACCAGCCCCAGGGCTTGCAGAGCGCTGGCCCATGCCCATGGGGGTTGCACTGGCACGAGCCTGGGGGGACACCCGTGTCACCCCGGTGCCACCCAGCTGCTCCCCAGGCTGTCACCAACAGCTCCTCTCCCATTAACATCAAACGGGGAGGAAGCAATTAGAGGGTGATTATTAATTCATTAACGAGCAGCCGAAGATTGGCAGCCAGGCGCTGTCCTTGTCCCAGCAGGAAGGGACACGGAGGGACATAGGGGGACATGAAAGGACACAGAAACACAGAAGGGGACACAGAGGGACTCGAGGGGACACCCGTGTCACACTGTCACCCGTGTGTCACCAGCTGCTCCTCTCCATTAACATCAAAGGGGCAGGAAGCAATTAGAGGGAGATTATTAATTCATTAACGAGCAGCTCGATGGAGGGAAGACAGACAGCCAGGCGTCCTTGTCCCAGCAAAGGGGAACAGGGGGACACGGAGGGACACAAAGAGACATGGAGGGACACAGGGGGACACGGGGGGACATTATTCAACTGTTTCCCCCATTATCCAGCTGGTTTTTCCCCCATTATCCAGCTGCTTTCCCCCCATTATCCAGCTGTTTTTTCCCCCCTTAACCAGCTGTTTTCCCCCCATTATCCAGCTGTTTTCCCCCCTATTATCCAGCTCTCCCTGCCCAGCAGCCAGGCATTATCCCACCCTGGAGCTGTCTCTCCACCGGCTGATGTTTCCCCCATCAAGCAGCCACAGCCTCAGCTGTTGAGAGCCCTTATAAAAGCTCCTGCTGGCTAGAGTAATTAGTGAATAAATATTAATGAGCCCCTGGCCAGCTCAGCTTCCTGCCCAGGGGTCACCCAGCTGCCACTGGGGTTCTGGAGGGTGACAGGTTTTCCTCCACAGAATATTCCTGTCACCCAGGCAGGTGGAAATCCCTGAGCCCAGCAAGGGGTTGAAGGCACCGAGGACGTGGAGGTGCCTCTGGGGACAGCCAGAAGACCCAAAGTGTCCCCTCCACCCCCCTGACCTCCTGCATTCCCAAGGAATCGAGGCCTGGGAGCTGCCTCAGGGATTTTGGAAGGACGGGAGGATCACCAGCGGTGGCAGACTGTGGGGCAGGTGGGGTCAGTCCCTTCTCCCGGGGACAGGGGACAGGAGCAGAGGAAAAGCTGCACCAGGGGAGCTTCAGGTTGGACATTTGGGAAGATTTGGTCACAATAAGAGTGGTCAGGTTTGGAATGGGCTGCCCAGGGAAGCAATAGAATCACCATCCCTGGGAAAGCTCATTTGGGGACAGGATTGTGTGGTGACCAACTCGGGAGGGCGTTTCCAGCCTGAACACCCCACAGCAATGGAATCACCATCCCTGGGAAAGCTCAAACCCTGGGCATGTGGCATTTGGGGACAGGATTCTGCAGTGACCAACTCGGGAGGGCGTTTCCAGCCTGAACATCCCACAGCAACGGAATCACCATCCCTGGGAAAGCTCAAACCCTGGGCATGTGGCATTTGGGGACAGGATTGTGTGGTGACCAACTCGGGAGGGCGTTTCCAGCCTGACCATCGCCCTGTCCCACAGCTGAGGAGCTCCAGCTCCATCTCCCGGGGACAGACCCCACCCAGCCCGCGGTGTCCCCGGGGTGGCACTCACTGGGACAGCCGGCGGCTCCCACGCCCAGCGCCGCGGTGACGTTGTCGGGGCAGCAGCCGTAGACGCTCTGGCTGCAGTGCAGGGCCGGCAGGGCCGGCGGGGTGGTGGCCAGGGCTGCGGGGAGGGCACAGGGACACCAAGGTCACCGTGGCACCCGGGGTCCCGCAGCCCTCCCAGAAATCCCGCTGGAGATGCTGGGAACTGGAGGTGAGGCCCTGGCCAGGGCACAGCAGGGCATGGGACAGCAGGACACGGGGACAGGGACAGCAGGGCATGGGGACAGCAGGGCACGGGACAGCAGGACACAGGGACAGGGACAGCAGGGCAGGGGACAGGGACAGCAGGACACGGGGACAGGGAAAGCAGGACATGGGCACAAGGACAGCAGGGCATGGGGACAGGGACAGCAGGGCACGGGGACAGCAGGGCATGGGGACAGGGACAGCAGGACATGGGGACAGCAGGGCATGGGGACAGGGACAGCAGGGCACGAGGACAGGGGTGTGGCCCCTGAGAACAATTCCTGCTTATTCCCAGGGAAAGGACACCAGGGACACACCGGGGACACACCGGGGACACACCGGGGGTGGCCGTGGCCCCCAGGGGACTCACCCCGACAGGCTCCCTGGCCGGTGACAAAGAGCTCCTGGCGTTTCTCACACCGCGTCTTCTTCAGCTGGCACTCGCTGGCGTAGGTGACACCATCAGAGCCGCAGACCTGCCCGGGGATGGGGGGACAGAGGGGACAGCTCAGGGGACAGCGAGGGGACAGGGGGGACAGCGAGGGGACAGCGAGGGGACAGTGGGGACAGCTCCAGGACAGCTCAGGGGACAGCGAGGGGACAGTGGGGACAGCAAGGGGACAGGTCAGGGGACAGCGAGGGGACAGGGGGGACAGCGAGGGGACAGGTCAGGGGACAGCGAGGGGACAGCGAGGGGACAGCGAGGGGACAGGGGGGACAGTGGGGACAGCAAGGGGACAGCGAGGGGACAGCTCAGGCCCTGCTGCCCCAGGAGGGGACACAGGAGGACAGAGCTCGGGACACCTCAGGACAGCTCAGGAGGGGACACGACGGCAGCACAGGCTCAGGGACAGCTCAGGGACAGCTCAGGGACAGCTCAGGGACAGCTCAGGACAGCTCAGACCATGCCACCTCAGGAGGTGACACAGCAGCATGGGCTCAGGGACACCTCAGGACACCTCAGGGACACCTCAGGACAGCTCAGGACAGCTCAAGACAGCTCAGGAGGGGACACCACGGCAGCACGGGCTCAGGGACACCTCAGGGACACCTCAGGACAGCTCAGGGACACCTCAGGACAGCTCAGGAGGGGACACCACGGCAGCACGGGCTCAGGGACACCTCAGGGACACCTCAGGACAGCTCAGGGACAGCTCAGGACAGCTC